GTGGATTCTGACTCTCAGCAACCTCATAGGGCCGTGTAGAACTGTCCCATAGGGTTTCCTAGTGTGAAAATCTCTTCAGGGCTAGGATGGCATCCTTTTTCTCCGCTGGAGCAACTGGTGGGTTAGAATCACTGATCTTGAGGTTGGCAGCCCAATGCTTAACCTTCAAAGAAAAGTTTGAGAGTGAACATTGATGGACTCTTTGTCACACACCAGTAATTTAAAAGATCACGACTAAAGCAAAAGCCAAACCCTATGCCATCGAGTTGATTCTGTCTCAGAACAACCCCATAAGGTTGTCGATCTTTACAGGAGCAGACTGCCTACCTCATCCTTCTCTCATGAGATCAGACCACCAACCTTGTAAAATCAATTTTCTACACCCCCACCCCCACACATGTCTTATTGAATTTAAGAAGGAGGCAAAAGTGAACACCTTCATGACCTTGGCTCAGAGATAGAGCCTCTCTGTATCTTATCAAAATATGAAACAAGGGCATATAAACATAAAATAACAATTAGTACTAAATGTTTCAATAATCTGTCCATCTTGGAAATAACATTGTTCTCCAATGAATACTCACTCACTAATAACAGTCCAGGGTTTTGTTTCTAGCAAGCTTAGAAATTATGTTCACACTGACATGGTAAGATTTATCATTACTGCTGAAAGTTGCCTCAGAGTGAAGATTTGGTTTGATTGAACACATGTTTGCATTTTTATCATCTGAACAAAGGGGAAAGAATACTAGACTTTTTACATTGAAAACTTGAATGCACTTCGGAAGGCTCTCCTAAGCACATCATTGAAGTCAGATCTGGTTTTATGTAATGAAAATTATTAAACTAATTCCTTGGGCAAAGTTTTACATCAAGTATGTGGACTTGAATTTGTAAAAGGTTTCTGAGTTAGTTTTTATAATATCTTTTTTTCCTTTTCATCTAGCACATGTAACGTATTAGAAGTTCAATTTTATTATTTTCTGGGAATTTTAGGACTATTCAATTTGTGGAAGTGCATATTTATCTCAATAAGCCAATCAGCACAGAATTCCTTTAATTTTCAAGATTTACAAATCTCATAATGAATGCCATCTGGACGTAAAAAACATTGCACACTCAGACAATTAGAGGTTCAGGCCTCCCTGAACTGTGGACCTGTAGACACGCACTCTGAAATCTCGCCCTAAATTTCTGATAATTTCAGCCATTGGTTAAGAGTAAAACCCCCAAAGACAAAAATAACTAGCTAGTTCAAAGAGCAGAGAGCTGTGCTTCCTAGTGAGTAAACAACCCTGCTCACTACCATCTAGTCAATGCTGACTCAAAACGACCCTATATCAGGTTCCCAAGACGATACATCTTTTAAAGAGATCAGATAACCTCATCTTTCTCCTGAGGAGCAACTGGTGAGTTTGAACCAGTGACCCTGTGGTTAGCAAGGCTTCCCTAAAAGCGCTACCAGGGCACCTTTCTAGGGATGGGCTTCTTAATTATTTGAACATGAAATAGGGGTACACCCACACAATGATGAGTCAGAATTTGTCCCTTCTCAAATGTTTTATGAACTTCTCCTTTGATGACCGGCACACTTCTTGTGGACACTCTCCTAGGCCTTGCTGGACGTGGTTGTGGCAACCATGGTCAATCTGATTGGCTAACAGAGGTAGCAGGCACCATTCTCAGATCTGTGGCTGTTGCAATAGCAAAGGGAACTGAGCCCCTTTTGATGTTCATAGATAACCAGCTCTTATTACAAATTAGGATTTCGAGTTCTGAAGAAAATCAGTTCTATATTTCCATCCAAGATAAAGGGACCGAAGATCCTATCCTTGTTTGAAACCACCAGCCAACCGAGTATCTGAAAGCACGGTTGAAGGACACTGAACGGAAGGCAGTGTGAAGTAGTGATGCCTGCGAGAGAGATGGCAGCTGGGCAGAGAACGTCAGGTTTCCCCGCGTACTGCCTTGAGAAAGCATTCAGGCCTGCATACAGTGTAGAGAAGAGAAGGCGGTTACCAGGTGGAAGCCAATGGGGTCTCTGCATTAGGAGAAGATACTGGAAATCTTGGTAAAGACAGGACCCAGGGCTAGAGAAAAATGAGGGTGCCCAGGGGGAGAGCCCTGAATCTTCAGACGTTTGCTCGCGAGTATTCAGCTGAATACAGATCCCCTCATACGTACTGGAAGCTACCTGGGAAAGATCCACCAAAAAGAATTAGAGAGGGAATAGTCCATAGCATTTAGAGATATGGGGATGTGTGGGGTTCTTGGATCAAGTAAAGTTCGGGTCTTTCCACAGTAGTGCGGGTGAGGAGTCCTAGGTTGAGTGCCACCTCCGTCACTCTAAACAAACTATAAAAGCAGGGTCTGCAGACTCAAACCTTCACAGAAACCTGGGGGAAATAATGTTTACCACGCAGCTAAAAATGGTGCTGCAAAGAACCAGGCAATTATGAATCCATAATGAGGCGAACAACCACCCGGGCAAAACGGAGCCAGAACTAACTCAGGTGCTAGAGTTAGTATTTTAAAAGTAATTACAACCGTGTTTCATGTGCTGCAAAACAATGAAGATGGGAAAGCAAGTACAGAGATGAAAAATGTGCGATGAGAATACACACAGACTCAATGATGGGAGTTTAGACTTGGAAGAAGAAAAGATTAGTGAACTGGAAGTCATCCCAATAGAAAGTCACTAGTAGGAAGCCCAGAGAAAAAGTATTACAACCGTCAACAGAGCATCAGAGGCACCGTGACACTGACTAATAAAATGGGGGGGGAATGGGGACAAGGATATATGAAGAAACCGTGTCTGAAAGGTTTTCCTTTTTATGAAAACTAAAGCCGCACATCCAAGCCCAAGGACACGCAGAAAATACCATCAAGGCCTACTAATCTTAATCAAAATCGGTGACAGAGGAAACGTTATTTTCAGCTGATGGGGAGGGTGCTGTGAGTGTGGAGAAACAAAGGCGAGGATGGCAGATGATGTCAAAGGGAACCAATGAACGCCATCAGACCTTGGGACAACTTCGGCGAAGCACCAAGAGGAAAAGATGCCCATTTCGAAGTCTACATGCAGCTAACGGAGTGTTAGGAGAATGGAGATGGTCCACACACCATAAGGAATGTTCTGTAACACGGGTCTCATGAAGGTGTTTTATCGAGAAAATGTAGAGCAACCCTGGCATGCCTTAAGTTTTAAAAAGCATCCCAATTCAAATAGTATGCAAAAGGATTTGTATATCTAATTCACCAAAGAAGGTACACAGTCGGCAAACAGTACGCATAAAAAAAGTGCAGAACACCCTTAGGGAAGGTGAATGGAAACAGCTAGTGTCTGAGAACGACTCAAATGAAAACAACTGACCATACAAATGTTAGAGTGGAGATGGAGGGACTGGAACTCCCTCACTCTGTTAGTATAATATGATACAACCAGGTTGGAAAACAGTGTCTTTGCTTCATGAACATGCAAACATATATCCACCATATGATCCAGCTGGTCCACTCCGATGTCTTTGACCAAGAGTCATGAAAGCACATGTCAATACAAAGACATGGACATACATAGTC